TGCTGCTAGGGACCAGAAGTCAAACCAATAAAAAACCGGAGTAAAACAGTAAACCAAGACACCATGCAATAAGGAATAAACTCAAATGGAGATTAATTTTCCATCCAGATAATGAGTTAGGTAAGAAGGCTAAAGAAAAATTCTCCCACGAGGAATAAACTCAATGGAGAAATTGAAAGGATATACACTTATTACTTAAGGCTGACATTCTATTGGATAATACTCACTCTTCAAAGAGGATAAGAATATCAACAAAAATATCAATGAATTCAAATAAATAATGCATTTTTATTCAGCTATGCATGATGTATGAATGTATGTTATATGTATGCTGACAAAACGGACATACTACACTTGGGATAACTAGGAAAAACAAACTCGGGTACAAATGGAACTCGGCTAAATCACATCCAAGATGGAAATCCCATAAGAGAGTAAAAAAGAAACATGAGCAAAGAAAGTCCTACTTCAAGGATTAGTTTCTTTGGGAAAGGAAATGTTGTTTGAAAATAATCAAAGCACCATCCTATAACCAAAATCCACAAAGATGCAGGGACATAACAACGTCTTATAAGCTTCACTGGGAGGTAATATACAGACTTTGTTAGAGAAGATGATATGACATCTGCTGAGAAGAAAATCACAATGCATTAAGAATAGTTGTTGCATAAATTCCGCCGTGTAAGATCAAAGAAACTTCACGGGGATAACAAACTCAAAGGGAAACATCACCCTTGGTTTATAATAAACTAAGAAGTCAACATTACAATAAGAAGGCAATTTTATGGGGATTTTAATTAAAGCTAACCACAAGGTGAGAGGAAACCCAAAAGTTGACAGTTATCTCAACACTTCTTAGAAAAAACACTTCCCTTGCCTGGCTACTTGGGGAGCACATATAAGCAATTATGTCTTAAATGGAAAAGAGTAATATCCTACAGGAGATTCTACATCAAGTCTCAACACAAGGGGAGAAAGAATCCTATAGATGAGTAAAAGCTTCAATACTTTACAAGATCTACTTGATCACAACCATGGATGGGGAGAGAATCACACTCAGCTGAAGAAATTAGAATCAAGACTTAGCTGGGGAATATGGGATGACAAACCCAACACCACACCATAATCTAGAGGAAAGCTCACTATCAAAATAGCAGTTGTAGGGGAAACTGTGCACACAATCTACAAAATCAACCAAAGGGGGCTCCTTAAATGAGAAGGATAAGAAATTCACCCTTTGGAAATCGCCCATTCTTGGAACAACTGCTTTTACCCATTTGATTCACAAAAATCAAATTAAAAGTATTTTGCAAATTTTTCAAAAGAACATGTTTTAATATTAACTTCTTTAAATATTTTTGTTTTGAAAATTACTATCAATAATAAATGAAATCTTTGTAAGCATAACAAATAAGAATTACAAAGAATTGGATAAAGGCTCAAACTTTATTAATAGAATGGTAGGTCCCAAATGGCGTGACTCCACTGATGATTACAAAGTTTGAAAAACAGAAAATACATGGAAAAGGTACATTGAAATACAATGACCACTATTCTCTCTAGCAACCTTAAATTCTTGTGCTTAAGCTTAAGTTTAAGAGCGATGAGAATTTGAGAAGATTGTTGTTGCAACGATCAAGTCTTGCCTGATGCAGTTACTTACCAAGAATCCATAACTTTTGCTTGGATTTCCCTTGTGGGTTTTCAATCTACCAGTATAATTTATTCTGTTTATGTCTCTAACTTTTTCCTATAACAACCCTTTCAGGTTTTCAGCCTACCGAGACGCTCAATTTTCCCTAAGCCGCCCTTTTGGGTTTTCAACTTAGCAAACTGTTACTTTATTTCTTTAGGCGAAGTGTTTCTTGACTATATTGAAATTCATGGATGTGGGAACTCTTCACCATCCATAGTTTCAAGAATCAACGCATCGTTAGAGAAATCTTTCTTAACAACATATGGGCCTTCATAATTGGGATTTCACTTGCCCCTAGAATCAGTGCTAAAATACATGATTTTTCTGAGCACGAGGTTGCCTTCTCTGAATTTACGAGGTTTGACCTTCTTATCAAATGCTTTCTTCATTATTTTCTGATATAACTGATCATGACATAAAGCCGTCATTCTCTTTTCTCCAATTAAAATCAGCTGGTCAAGCCTGTTTTGGACCCATTCAGCCTCTGACAATTTCGTTTCCATTATCACACGCAAAGAGGGGATCTCAACCTTGATGGGGAGAACTGCCCCCATGGCATAAACAAGAGATACATGGGTTGCCCCTTTTGAAGTTTGGATGGATGTACGATACCCGTGTAAAGCAAAAGGGGGAATATCATGCCAATCCTTATATGTAACAAACATCTTTTGAAGGATCTTCTTAATGTTCTTATTAGCAGCTTCAACATCCCCATTCATCTTAGGCCTGTAAGAAGACGAGTTATGATGGACAATCTTAAATTATTCTCAAAGGTCCTTCATCATCTTATTATTCAAATTTGAGTCATTATCAGTGATAATCCTGTTTGGTACACCATACCGACATATAAGGTTATTCTTAATAAACCACGTCACCATCTTCCTGGTCATATTAGCAGAAGAAGTTGCTTCCACCCATTGGTGAAGTAATAAATTTCCACTAAGATTAAACGATATCCATTTGAAGCCTTGGGTTCAATCATCCTGATCATATCAATACCCCACATAGAGAAGGGCCATGGGGAAGGAATAACATTGAGAGGAGTTGGAGGCACACAAATCTTGTCAGCATAAATCTAACACTTATGGAACTTTCTCGTAAATTTGTAACAGTCAAATTCCATTATCAACCAATAGTAAATTACCCTTAGCATCTTCTTTTCCATAGAATATTCATTGGCATGGATACCAAATGAACCTTCATGGATCTCATGCATCAACATGTCTGCTTCATGTCTATTCACGCATCTGAGCAAGATTGTGTCATAATTCCTTTAGTACAACACATCTTCATTGAGGAAGAAACTACCTGTCAATCTTCTCAATGTCTTCCTATTCTTGTTTGATGCCCCAAAAGGGTACTCTTGAGTCTAAAGGAAGTGCTTGATATCATAATACCAAAGTTTATCATCTGATGTCACCTCTGCAGCAAATACACGAGATGGCCTATCAACGTGTTAGATTGTAATTTGAGGTACATCATTCCAAGAATTCACTTGGTACATGGAAGACAATGTATCTAAAGCATCTTCCATGTGATTCTCGTCTCGTGGAATGTTATGGAATTCAACTTTATTGAAGAAAGTCAATAACTTTCTTGCATAGTATTTATAGGTGTTATACCCCTATTTTTTCCCTAAGATTTCTCATCATCTCATTATTGTCAATCTATCCAGATCACACACTAGGCTCGTTTCTCTCTTTCTACTTCATCCTATCTTTAAGTTTGCTCTTGAGGGATCACTGTTGCACCCCAAAATTTTCCCTCTTAATTGTACTTTTATTTGGCTTGGGCTTAGCGTTGCATTCACATCTTTTCATTAAGTCATTTACATAACATACATTCACATTCAATAAGGCACCTGAGGTTCAAAAGTCCAGTGGACATACAAGTTATAGTTTTGCAACATATTTGAGATGTATATGTCCAATAAAGCCCAAGTTACTTGATTTTTCTTCGAGTATCTGAGCTATGGAATTGTGGTTTTTAGAAGTGTGGTTGTTAGGAATATCTTCTTCAAAGGGTATCCTCCATCAATATTCATCAAAGGCCAAAGAAGTTGGGTTTCTAATCCCTCATGTCTAGGCACGACATTGTGTCGACCAAGAATCCCATGGATTAGGGTTTTGGTTAATGGTTGTCTTGAGCATCTTTATCTCCAGTTATCAGGCTCATTCTCCACCTAAATATTATCCCGAATACTTAATGGAACTGATATACATTGATTCCTTTGATGACTTTGAGTCATAGCATCCACTATTGTGGGGCATGTCAATTGAGAAATGGTTCTTATATACTTCATCTTAAGATACATGGTTCTTGAGGATGTGGAATTAAGTCTTCTCTGAGAGATTAGTATGGTTTCTAGGAGGTTACATAATAAAAGTGATGATTATTTATTTGGTCTTGGCTTGTATCAACATATTAAGTTCAAATAGATGTTATCAAGACGTCTTCGCCATTTATTCTAGATCAAAAGGCCTTAATTTAAGAAGCTTGGGATTGGTTCATTTGAAAAGAAAAAAATTGTTTTGAACATGTGGACTTTATCGTTTAATTTACAAGATTATATGTTAATTTAGAAGGATTTTCCCAAGGCAAAGGGTTTGTGATCGTGGATTGAATTGCTAACAATTAAGGAGGAACAAGGTCTTTTGCATACAAGGATGGAAGAAAAGTCATATGGCTTTATTGGCTCACAAGTTACAAGCTTAAAACATTCATCATGGTTCAATGGCTTTCCCTTCGAATCCACTATTACTTGGAAAAAAACAAGGCATTTGGAAGAATCATTCATGTGATTTATTTGAAATGCAAGTAACAAGTACAAAGTGTGAAATTCAAATTACAAGGCCTTATTCAAGATATCCAATTTCATTCAAAAAAATCAAAACCTATTTTCAAGATCTCATCAAAATCCATTCAATTTCCAATTTCATTACAAAGTCAAAATGACTTTACAAAGCCACTTAAGCTACGATAAAAATAAAAAAATAAAAGGAGATTTGGAACATTGAATAGAAATTGGCAGAAACTTCAAAGTTAGTTTGCTCTTTTCAGGATATACTTGCAATTGACTCATTTTCCAAATTAAGATGCAATTTCCAAGGAATACATTATATCACAGCATCTAATACTATCCTACTTCAGAAGTCAGATTCGATGTGAGTATGCCAAAAATACATGAAAACCTATCCTAATCATCCATCATTCTCCATGTTATGCAGCTTGTTCCATATTCATGTTTCCATATTTGGTTCTCAAATATTCATTGATTTAATGCTTCAACTTTTGCTTCCATCTCTTAATTCACCTTTGTGCCATGCTCTTGCTCCGTCACGTTCAATTCCAACCCTGCACCACTAAATTCAAACCAGTCCATAGGCCAGCCTGTATAATCATGAAATATCAGAAGGAAAAACTAGGTTCCATTCATCAATAAATCAGCCCTGCACTTCAATGAACAACCTGCATACCTTAACCTTGACAGAGAATAGGTCCACATCATTAGACTAACTGCAATTTAAAGGAAATCAAATTCAGCTTCAGAACAATTAGCACACAATTAACATCAACAAAAACCAGTCATAAGCTAAATCCCCAATTAACAGTCAGTTACACTAAACAAATCCTAGATGTAACTAAACTGTATCAATACTAACCCCATTTCAATCGAATTCTAGCTTCTACTAACCACTGTAGTCACATTAGACTCTATTCTAATAGAATTTCTAACTGCCCCTAGACCGAGATTAGACTCTATTCTAATAGAATTTCTAACTGCCCCTAGACCGAGATTCATATAAGCTAACCTTTTAAGATAAACTTTGCAATCGCAAACGGTGCAAACGGATCAGCCGCCAACTCAAAATCAGAACCAAATGATAAACCTGCATCCAAAGAACCAGTTTAGCCATCCGATAAGATAAACCAGTCCATCAAAAGCCTTCAAAAACAAGTTCCATTCAGAAAATCCAACTCAGTCTCAGTACATTTAGATCAGGGCAAGTGAATAAAACAGAAAAAGATTGGACCATTTGAAAAACACACAAAAAGAAACTCATAATTGTTTATAACAGAACTATCAGCTTATAACTCACATTAGGATCACCAACAGAATTCCATATATCCCTAACTGTTTCTAACCAAAGATCTAGCCGCGGTTTGAATAAAGAAGATCAAAGAGGTACGAGAAGAGCGGCGGCTCCGCGATTTTCGGTCAAAGAAGGTACGAGAATAGCGCGGCGGCTTGCAAGCTTCCATGACGGCGCTTCACCGGAGAAGGAGAACTTTGAGTTATCGTGAGGTTAAAATGTTATGATTAAAACCCTATCTATCCCAAAAGACACCGTCTCTCTCCATTCTTTTGTTGCTTTTTTATTCATTTTTTATTTTTTTTTATAATAACAATAACAAAAAGATGATGATAAGAAACCAGTGGACCGAACCCTTCACCCATTGAGCCCAATATGTATTTTTTTAGCCTGAATGCATTGTACCAAAATTTCTCCTTTGCCTTGCATTGTTCGGGCCTGAGCCTTTTACTGAACCCACACCCTGGATTCAAATTGCACACTCCCCTCTACTTGTAATTGATTTTAGTTTATTTTTAGTAATTTTCTTTTCATAACTGTTAGATAATAATTTTTGTTAAATAAGAAAATATTGATGTAACAAAAACATTAATAAAAATTGTTTGATTTTTTTATTTTAATTTTAGGAATTAATTCATGATTATCTGATTATTTGAGATTTGTAATTCACCTTTGTTTGTTGAGATCTGAGTCTTATGCAGGTTTATTGTGTGATATGTGGATTGCTTGAGATTCCGATTGTGATTTATTTTCATATCAACGATGCTTCGACGATTATTTCAAGCATTTGATTTATGACTCTTCTCTGTTGCTTGGTGAAACTTACTTGAAGTTTTATGGGTTTCTCTGTTTTACTTGCTATGCTACAAACTCTTGTTCGTTTGGTATCATTCTGATTCTGGTTTATCATTCCGTATTTTACTGTTTTTCTAGATATCATGAGAAGTAGAAATTTTACTGCTTCTGATGCCATGTGAAGTAGGAATAGAGATGTATAATAGGGATTTATATTGCTGATCATGTCAGGAGCCCCTCTAGTTTATTTAAAGACGTGTTTAAGGAAATTATGAATTTGTGTGCTACTTGTATTTGTGGTTTGTTTAAAACCCTACCTTTGTGTAGGTATTTTGTAGTGTGTTTACATTTTTGCTAAAGACCTCAAAAGAGGTGGCCTATTCACATTCCCTATTGAAGTCCTCAAAAGGAGGCGAGTGGAAAAGGTTCGCAATTTACCCCCGTATTCCGTCCATGTCATCTTTAGCTCGTGGCGCACCACGATGCTTCAGAGTTGTGCCTACTCTTGTTATCGAGTCGTCAAGTGGAAAAGGGTTTCACAATCAAACCCCTACACTTTGTCAAGAGTTCACATTGATTGATACTGACACTTCGTGAATGTTCATATTGTCTTCTATCTCCTACCTCGATTTTCTATATCGTGGTTAGGGGTTTAGTCGCCTTCGACATCACATTTTTCTTTGTTATTTCTACCCTCTTCCCGCTTATTTGCCTCGGTTGATATGACCCATTGGCTAAAGCTTTTCTGCTTCATCCCTTTTCCCGCTTGTTTGCCTCGGTTGATATGACCCCTTGGCTAAAGCATACCTACTGTATTTTGTACCTACCTCAATCAATTATATCCTGGTTAGGCCTTTACCCGAGTTAGTATGCACTAATCGTGGCATGTGTGTGCTCTCTTGAGCTTGTGGATTACTCGCTTTCCATCTTTGTGTACATGTTTCCTTAGGTTGTGAACCTTTGGCATGTTCCCTTAGGAGTTTTTGATTCTTCCTTTGGTGGTGATTCGAGATAAACATAAGTTTAGAATGTGAACCTTTGCTAGGCTCCTTTAGGACTTCTTAATTCATCCTTTGATGGTGATTCGAGATAGATATTAGGATAGGTATCCATGCATGCTAACATAGGGTACATATTTCCCTTTCAAAACTCAACCTTAGGGTCAATCATTGTATGATAACATTAGGGATTAGAAATAGGTTAGTCTCCCTTAGATGTTTTTTTCTTTCTTTTGCAACCTTGCATTAAGACTAAAACTTATTTCTTGGAAAATGAATAAAACATCTAACAACTTTAAAATCCTTCTTCAAGGTAAAAAATATCAACCAATATAAACTTTTTCCGCCTTCGGGCCTTTCTTTCAAACTTTCAAAAGAACATGTTAATTCACTTATGTGCTGACGTGTGAGTCTCCAAAGGTCGAGTTGCGGCAGAAGGCGAAATAAATAATGTTCATTAAAAAACACAAAACAAATCAAAACTTGTGAGCCAAACTACGACTGCTATGATTCCTTAAAAGGGATACATAGGCATTGGGGTAGGGCCCGAAGGAGCACAACTTTATTTTTCCTACATTATTTTCTATTTCATTTTGCATGCATTCCCTCTTTGCATTCTCCTTATCTCTTAAGCATTAGATTTTAACACATCCTTTGATTATAAAAACAAGAGTGGATACCATAGAATACTACGGGTGGTGGGGTTCTAATACCTTCCCCTCGCGTCCCTTACCCGTATCTCTTGGTCGTTCGACCATGATTTCACCCTTCTCAGGTTTACTCGATGTTTACCTTTCCCTTCTTGTGGGTTAAAAAATATTTTATGGTGACTCCATTGATTTCATCTCGATGATATATTCAGTCGATTGTTTCAATCATCAAGTACCTTGAATTGTGTATCTTATACATGTATTCTTTCAACTAACATCAAATTATATATATATATATATATATATATATATATATATATATATATATATATATATATATATATATATGTGTGTGTGTGTGTGTGTGTGTGTGTGTGTGTGTGTGTGTGTGTGTGTGTGTGTGTGTGTGTGTGTCTTTGAATGTTCATATTATAGGCGATGACACAATTACATTCATCTCACCATCTCCTAGCACAGAGGGTCAAAACTAGGGTTTTGAATTTAATCAATAAATCTATGACTTTTAGGTAAAGAATTGATTCCATGCTCCTATACATGTTCATGAGCATCTATGATTGGAGGATTGATCATCAATTTTGATTGAAAAAGGTTCAATTTATCAAAAGGGGCAAAATGGTTATTTTGTCAAAAGTCAACCAAAATCTAGGTTGACCAAGTGGACTTTTGGTTAACCATCAATTAAATGTCCCTATTTTCAAATTTCATGGTCAATGGTGGAATAAGATCAAGAGGAAGTGTTGAATTAGAGATAACTTGTCAAAGAAGTTACTTGAAGTTTTGAAAAAAAATTTAAGTGTTGAACTTTAATTGATCACAACTTTCTCAATTTCTATCAAAAATGTGAAAACTTTTTATGGTTGGGAAGAAGAGAAAATGTTATTCAGTTTTGTCCTTAACACTGAAAAGCTCAAAAAGTGAAAGGGGAAAAAGTTATTGAGCTTGAAAATTTCTGGCCACTTAGTGAAATTTCTAAATATGTACACAAGACCTGATTTCTTCATGGATAATTTTAAATGTCCATTTGAGCTCAAATCAAAAAGCTGTCAACATCAAAATTGGAGTTTGAAACATCCACTTCACTTTTGATTCAAGAATCATCTCCTATGATCAAGTGTAGAGAGAGATATAAGGTTTAGGATTCAGGCCTGGAGATGGTAAGTTAGCCTAACAAAACGAGGCCTCGCGTGCGGAATTTTATCAAGAAGATGGTGGGCATACCTTCACCATCACCTTTCTTGTTGAATTAATCCTAATTTCCAAAAAAATTGAACATAAAAGTTAGAGCTTGTTGTGTCCTCTTCAATTTAGGTTCAGGGTTTGTCTCATTTTGAGCATCATAGAGAGAGTTATTGGATTTAAAATATGGAAGGTTCAAGTTGATAAGAAGCATGTCGTACGCGCGCGGGATTGCCCATTCAGGCCATTACTTTTATCAAACAGGTTATGTGCCCATTTTCATTTTAATTACCACAAAAATATTTCAAACTTAATTTAGGGTCTATTTTTATACTTTGAATTTTATTTCATAATTTTTCCATTTTTTAATAAATAATTAATTAATGTAGATTAGTTAGGTGTTTTAATCATCTTTTAGGTTTTTTATTTTACTTTCTTATTTCCATTAACCTAAAAAATCCATAAAAAATATTGAGTTGAACTTTGAGTCTAATTCTTGAAAATATTTTTTTCCTTATTTTATAAAATACATGGTATGCTAATTAAATCAATTGATTGGTTATGTAACTTTTCTTTGTATTTTTTGATATATTGTGTAAATAATTTTTTTTAAATTCTTCCTCTTGAGATAAATTCCAAGAAAAATATAATCATTGACTCTTTTGTTTTGAAATAATTTGTTATGATTTTTAATTGGGTTTACATGTTATTTTACTTGCTTGTGAGAATTTAGAAGTTAATGGTTGTTTTTGGTCTTTCTTCATGCTTAAGCCTAAAGAAACAATTAATTCTCCAACTTCCCTCATTTCTAAAAATCAAAGAAAATATGTTTAAAGTTCATGGATAAGTCAAGATCATTTAAACCTTTTTTTTTTCTGAATTTTAAAGTATGATCTTCTATTTTCTTCAAAATATTTTGTTAAGCATGCCAAGTTTTAGTATTTTGCCAACTAGTTTTGATGTTTGAGTTTCAAAATTATATTTCCTCCTCTTTTCAAGAAATTTTTACTATGCTTCTGGATTTTAGAAGTTTTTAGGGAATTAGAATCAAATTTACATAATTTTACAAGTCATTTTCCTATTTTTAACCTAATTTTGACTTAGGAGTATGCTTAGGGTTTTGCCTTGATCAAAAAGTTTGTATTTGAGAACTTATGTGCATAGTTTTAGGCTTTTTGGCATGTCATATGCTACTGACTTGGTGCTATTGTGTTCCATTTCTCCCATTTTTCTCCTACTTCTAACATCCTTTTCTCCTATCAAACTTTGAATGCCTTTTATGACCCTTTTGTTTATGGTTTGTGCATTGATTTCACTTGTACTGTGTGTGATGCTTAAGCATGTTTCATTTAAAGGCTTTAAGGTATACTAACATGATGTGTATGCTTTTGAATTCAATCTTGTTTGATATCTCATACCATGTTTAACCCTCACACACTTATTCCTACTTCACATACATACTTTGTTTTGATTTAAGTACATGTATGATATGTATTGATGATTGATAGGATCTTGAGTCCAATTTTTCA